TTTTTTATTCTTTACTCTTTTTTGCCTGATTGTTTCCTAAAGGGGGAGGGAGGGATGAGAGAAGGTGTGGAGTTGGATGGGTGAGAATGTGAGAAGAATCTGGGAGGAGACGAGGGAGAGGAAACTGTGATCCAACTATATTGTATGAAAAAATATTTTCAATTAAAAATAAGGGAACCTTGGCAGGGATCTGTAAGGTCCCACCCTCAGAGGCATTATCTAGCCTGCTCCATGGGTTGCCACCTGGACCCTAAGGAGAACTTGACCATGACTTTGGACTGATCTTTACAGTCCTACATGGGAGGCTCATCTCAAAGGATCCCTGGTCCTGCAAGCCCCTCCTCCTTCTTCCTATCATGGTTCCAAAGCTTGACCTACCCTCTGTTGCTGTGACAAACACCATGACCAAAGACAACCTGGGGGAGCTCGGGGTCTATTCCAGCTCTGTCACCAGGTAACAGTGCGTGACCAAAGGAAGTCAGGGCAGGAACCTGGAGGCAGGAACTGAAGCAGAGACCATGGGAGAATGCTGTTCGCTGGCTCACCCTCTGGCTCCGGCTTGACTAGATTTTTATACAGCCCAGGCTCATCTGCCTGGGGATGATGCGTCCCACTGTGGGCTGGGCCCTCCCACGTCCATCATCATCAAGACAGTCCCTCATAGTCCTGGCCAAAGAGCAATCTGATTGAGCAATTCTTCACAGTTCCCTCTTCCCAAGTCACTCCAGATTGTGTCAAGTCAACTATAAAAACTAACTAGCCCACCCTGACTCCTTGGGCGCTGGGATTACAGAGGGGTTGACACCCCTACATGACTGATACAGTTTCAGGAGTGCTGAGGATCAAACTCGGGTCCTCATGGTTGCCCGGCAACAACATTCCCAACTGAGCCACCCCCAATCCCCGGCTCTAACTCTGCAGGTACTTTAACCAGAGTCAACCAGACTTCCTCATTGGTTCCAGCACATGGTGGGCTGCAGCCAGCTCAGGCTAGCTCTCGAGCATTCCATACACGCATTTCTTTTCAGCTCCTCATCCAGTAACTTCTGCATTTGCAGCTTGGAACCAGTCATGGTAGGGACATTCACATCACAGAAATCTGTGACTGCCGAGACACGGGTCTCTTCCTTGTGAAGAGCCCACCACTAACACCTTCCTGACAGATGTCTGGCTCCAGGCCTTATTAAACCACAGCTTACAAAACCACCACCAGGAGGGTCATTTTAGCCCACTGTCCCGATGAAATGCAAACTGATGTTTTGTTTATCTGTTTATTTGTTAAACACCTGTGACAGAGAGGCCGGAACTTCTGAAAACAGTGCTAACTGGCAAAGTAAGGATCATGCTTCAGGCTTGAGCTACACACCTAAGATTCTTAGTTCTGGTAGAGAACACCGGCAGCAACCTTTTGCTTATTGCAGGTTTTGACTTCTCACTTAACATGCAAAAGAAACATGAAACATTAAACAAATATGTTGGGAAATGTGCCGAGAACACAACCTTAGATTTTCGTGTGATTTTTTTCCTTCTCATTCTTTTATATTTATATAATTTGAACTGTATTTCAAGCCTACCATCACTGTGCGCCCCCCCCCCCTTTGCAGCCCTTCCCAATGTCTTTTCTTCATTGAATCAGTCCCAGACCTCGGTGGGTAGCCTTATCTTAAAACCCTTCAAGAATCATTTTTAAATAAACACTAATACGCCACCTCTTTTAGCAGAGAAAAAAAGTGGAACGCTCGTCCAGTGAGCTCACTGCTTGCTCGTAGACTGAGCTGTGGACCTCCAGAGCACACAGGCTGGGAGCTAGGCTGGGGCGGTAGGGGTGGAGATGAGGGCTCAGTCATAGTGAACTTTGATCTTGGGCACATCCAAGCTAGACAAGTCTCCGTTGCAAACTGTTGGGCGTGACGAACTCGACCTGTCTTGCAGCTTCAACTTGATCATCTTCTCCACGTGTTTTCGGTAGGCCCTCTGGATGACGGCGGCACACAGCTCCTCCTCCTTTCTCTTGGTGGTGGTGACTATGGGCTCGTACAACTTTCTGAAAGGATTGGCCTCCATGAACTTATCCTCCATCAGCGATTTCATGGTGTCCAAGCCGCTGGAGTTCCCGAGGACCCTGGTGGTGAAGGCAAAGAGAACGTCCATGCAGTGGAGACGATCGCCCGTCACCATGGGCAAGTCCATCACCAGAAACTGAAACTTGTTAGGCTTGGCCACGCGCAGCGGCTCAGGCAGGGCGTCCGCAAAGTCAGAGAGGGCCGAGTACTGGATGAACTGCGTTGCTTCGGGGTCAAACTTCTCCCAGATCTCATAGAAGATTTCAAAGTCGTCTTCGCCCAGGGGGTCCGCGCTCTCCTCGGTGGCCGTGTTGAAATTCTCTAGAATCACCGCGATGTACATGTTGACCACGATGAGGAAGGAGATAATGATGTAACTGACGAAATAGATGATGGCTACCCGGGGCTGCTGGCAGCTGTCTTGGGAGGAGGAGTTGGTGTCGGCTTTTGAAGCCAGCATGGGGCTGAGCAGAGAGTCCCAGCCAGCTGAAGTGGTCACCTGGAAGAGGCAGAGCATGCTGCCCGAGAACGTTTCAAAGTTGAAGATGTCGTCGATTCCAGAGCCCCTCTCCACTTTGGAGAAGCAGTTCATCCCGAAGATGGCGTAGATGAACATAACGAGGAAGAGCAGCAGGCCGATGTTGAACAGAGACGGCAGAGACATCATCAGAGCAAACAGCAGCGTCCTGATGCCTCGAGCAGCCCGGACCAGTCGGAGGATGCGGCCAATCCGCGCCAAGCGCACGATTCGGAAGAGCGTGGGAGGGAAAGGAACGCTGTTCTCCAAGCCAGAAACCAGGGAACCTGCAGAGGGAGGGCCAGTGAACTCCCAGCGTGCACCGCCCTTGCGACCCCAGCTAGTCCTACGCGTTACCTACACTTTGTCCTTTATTTGCAAAACTAAGAAATGCCCGCCTGTGTTTCAATTTGAAAAATACATCTCTAAGGGCCACGAAGTCTTAGATGGGACTTTTGATGGGGGCGGGGTGGGGTATACATTCGAAGACAAGCAAGGGAACTGTGGAAGGCTATACAGGGTTTTTTGCCTATGATGATGTTCCTTTTAGCTACCCATGGGACAACACCTACCATGGTTGTCCCTGTTTACCGAATGCAGATGGAAGGCAGGCCATTGTTTTTCACATGCTGAACCTTTCAGAGGGCATGGTGAAGCTTCTGCTGGAGTTTGGCTTAAGCCTTGCTTGAGCTACAGAGGGAAACTGTAGGATCGGAGAGACCTGAGTTTATTGGGACAAGGGCTCCTTCATCTAGGTCTCCCTACAGCCCTCTGCAGGTGAGGACACACTAACTGCTGTGTGGGGCGCTGGAGGGAGGAGGAAGTCCTGAGATGCTCCCCCTTTAGCCCACAGCTGCACACTGGGCTCTCCTGTTTGGCATTCCACTCACTCTGGGGACCACTGAGGTGCCCAGGCTCACCTGAAGCTAACATGTGACGTTGAGAGACATGCTCTCTGTTGTGGACACCCTGGAAACGGAGTCTCAAACAGGGCTTTGTGCAAACTGATGAATATTTGGACCCGAAATGTCACCCTGTTCTCGCCTTCCCTGCTGAGCAGGCAAGAGCTAAGGGGTGTTAGGAGTTTACATTTTGGCCCAAATATTATAGAATGGCTGGAACATGCTTGCCTTGTGTAGACATGGTTTTCCCCTTGCTCTGAGGTCATTAGGGATCATGACAGTGAAATGTTTCTGCCAGTCTCCTGATGACTACAGAGAACTCACTAGCTATACCTCATCATCTGAGTGTATGAAAGCGGTATGCTAACTGAGTAGACGATCCTAACAAGGTTTGATGGTGTCAACTCAGCAATACCGGCCCTTTCAGGCTCAACCTTAAATACCACCTGGACTAATCAGGTCTGTATGAATCTGTCCTTTCTCTAAGTACAGGTGTGTGTGTGTGTGTGTGTGTGTGTGTGTGTGTGTGTGTGTGTGTGTGTGTGGGGGTGTTTTTAAAGTAAGTGCTATCCACCAGTCACACTGCTAACTCCCAGGGAGAGGCTCACTGATCACTCATTTAGCAGTCATTACTGCAGGAGCTGAGGAAGGAGCCTGGGGAAGAGTGCAGGCCAGGTGTTGGATATGCATACATAAAGGCCCATGGACTTCCACCCACACTAGGGAACAGAATTTGGCTTCATGTGAACAGTCTGTCCTGCACTGGGCCCTGGAGCAAAATTTCTAGTAGTTCGTGTGACTTCAGGCACCTAGGAGCTGGTGGAAGGATCCTAGAGACTTTTCTAGCAGCTTCACAATGCCCCGCATGTCCTGGAAAGGGCAACAGAATGATGACGCCTTTGCATGTGGGCAGAAGGGCTCCTGGCACTCCCTTTGTGTGTGTGTGTGTGTGTGTGTGATTGTGTGTGTGTGTGAGAGAGAGAGAGTGTGTGTGTGTGTGTGTGTGTGATTGTGTGTGTGTGTGAGAGAGAGCTTTGGAGTGTGTGTGTGTGTGTGTGATTGTGTGTGTGTGAGATTGTGTGTGTGAGAGAGAGAGAGTGAGTGTGTGTGTGATTGTGTGTGTGAGAGAGAGTGTGTGTGTGATTGTGTGTGTGTGTGTGTGTGAGATTGTGTGTGTGAGAGAGAGAGAGAGTGAGTGTGTGTGTGATTGTGTGTGTGTGTGTGTGTGTGAGAGAGAGAGAGAGTGTGTGTGTGTGTGTGTGTGTGTGTGTGTGTGTGAGAGAGAGAGAGAGAGAGAGAGAGAGAGAGAGAAGGGGGGTCAGGTCCCAGACTCCTCTGATCACCATCACCTAACTTCTACTGATGTCACTTTCACCTGAACTTGTGGTTGGGACTAACTACTAAAGACCATAGGTCTATTTTGCTGCCAATACATGGGCCTATTTAAACTATCTACATAAACCTCATGGCTTTGAACCCAGGCCGACCCTGACACAATCATTTGGTAGCAAGGGTAACCAACACTCAGATCTAATGCCTGTGATGCAGCCTTTCCAAGATGGGAAGATTTGTAAGATCAGTTTTCCTTGTCCCCTTTGCACTCTGAACTATGAGGACACCTCATGGGCCCCACTACACACACACGATGTAAAAAGTGAAGTTAAGTCAGATGGGGCAGCTCACACCTATAATCTCAGCACTTGGGAGGCTGAAGTAGGAGGGCTAAATGAATTTGAGGCCAGCCTAAGCTATATGGTGAATTGCATGTCGACCTGGACTAGAGTGAGACTCCATCTTAACATTCCTCCTCAAAAAAGAGAAAAAGAAAAAGTCAAATTAATGGATTATCTAAAATCAGACTTTAGAGACACAAACTCTAATGGTTTAGCCGCTTGGAAGTATACTAAGCATGCACAAGGATGGGTTTTGATTCTCAGAACTGGGGGGAAAAGTAAGAGAGACGGCTGGAGAGATGACCCAGAGGTTAGAAGCAGAACCTGCTGTTGTAGTGTGCTTGTCTGTAATGAGATCTGGTGCCCAATTCTGGCCTGCAGGGATACATGCAGACAGAACACTGTGTACATAATAAATATACATAATAAATAAATAAATCTTTTGAAACTCCAAAAAAAGAAAGAAAAAGATAATAAAGCATACGATGATAATTCTTTTTTCTTCCATTCTTTATGGTTTAGGCAGCATGTCTGTGGTTATGAAAAATCCACTGACTACAGACAGGCTTGCTGGTGAGTGTGTCAAAGCACCTGGGACATGCCCAGCCCAGGCCCTGGCTCCTGAACATGGATTCAGGATAAAGAACAGGCACCGCTTGTCATGTGAGGCTGTCTTGACGCCTCGGCAGGAGGCAAGGAAGCCCCGGCATTGCCATGTGCTTCAACAGCTGCTCTGGCCCCCTTGTGGGTTTTGAACACAGGCACCAACAGCAGTGCTAACAGCCAAACTCCTAAAACCACAAACCACCCACCAGGGCTCATGGTGGCTCTGAAGAGATAGAATTCTGATTCAGCCACCTGAGATGTCAGGAACCCCTGCAAAAACTGTTAGCAGAGAGACTTTGTTTCCCTCCATTGGACAAGCAGATTCAACTGTGTGCAGTCAAGAAAATGGAAATCACTGCCTTGTGGCAATTCCTAAACAGGGCATGACTTCCCTAGCCCTCCCCACTTTGCCCCAGACTCTACATTAAGCCTAATCTGTTGCTTTGTGGAGAAACTTGACATGCTTTCAAATGATTAGCTTCGAGGTTTACTTCTGCCTCACCCTGGAAAGCCCTGGCTACAGGTTTTACTTACTAATGATAGAAAGAACCACGACCACACAATCAAATAAATTCCAGCCATTGGTGAAGTAGTATTGCCTCAAAGCAAACATTTTGATGAGACATTCTATGGTAAAGATGACCACAAAGGCTATGTTGATAATATCAAAGATATTCTTCACTTCTTGGGTCTGGCCTTCATATTCAGCCATCATGATAATCATATTTAGGACAATAAGACCCAGAATGATGACGTCAAAGACCTGGCTTGTGACCAGGTCAAAAACAAAGGCTTGACATTTATTCTGAGGAGGAAAAAGAAAGAATAAAATTATGTCATTGAAACAACAAAATTTGTTTTTTTTTTTTACAATGAAGGCAGTTTCTTAGAATATGCACAGACCCTTTCAAAGGACAAGAGATTCTTATAGCCTCCCATTGTTGCTTTGCTTCAAGTTCCATAGGGTGACTGTTTTTATGTGCTTAGGCTTTACTTTTAATTCTACTTTAAAACAAAAATGCAAGTCAAAATATCCTCAGTCTATGGGGCCTCTGGTAGTGGATCAGTACTTATCCCTAGAACACGAATAGACTTTGGGAGCCCACTCTACATAGAGAGAAACTCTCTAAGCCTAGACACGGGGGAGGGCCTAGGCACTGCTCCAAATGATAAGACAGACCTTAAAGATCCCCCATAAAGGCCTCACCCTTCCCTGGAGGGCAGAAAGGGGATGGGAGGGGGGCCTGTGGAGGGCAGGAGAGGGGAGGGACAGGGAATTAGGATTGACATGTAAAACAAGCTTGTTTCTAATTTAAATAACAAAGAAAAAATATCCTCAGTAGCAACACAACTTTAGTGGTGTGATGATGTGGTGTGATGGGTGTGGTGTGATGGGTGTGGTGTGATGGGTGTGGTGTGATGGGGTGGTGTGATGGGGTGGTGTGATGGGTGTGGTGTGAGGCTGAGATAAACAGCTTGTGTCGGCTTCAACAATATAAAAACAAACCTCAATGTCCACATCCGCATTTACCTGAGAGAAGGACACAGAGAACATCTATTTCTCTTGGACAAAATGGAACAGACACCTCCAAGGCTCTGTTTGTCCATTCAGAATAATTAGAACTTCAGCAAAACTCTGCATTAAAGTCCGTTGTCAATCCTGGTTGGAATAGGCTAAAAAACAGCATCCCAGCCCCAAAACTACCAAAGGTGGAGGAGCACTGGTGACTTCATAGGATGACTGGGGGTGACGTTGAACATTGGTTTCTTTTTTCCAAGTATTAATTTTTTTAAGATTTATTTTTGCTAGATGTAATGGTGCACACCTTTAATCCCATGCACTTGAGAAACAGAGGCAGGAGGGTCTCTGTCAGTTCAAGGTGGCCTGGCCTACATAACAAATTCCAGGCCAATCAGAGCCACATAGGGAGAACCTGTGTGAAAAGAAAATTAAATGTGCCCGCTTCTGGCCTCTGTGAACACTACATCCATATGGACATACAGACACACAGACACACTTACACAAGTGATTTTAGAGCAGTAAAAAGAATACTTCCTTTAAAATCAACAGGAGATATTTCAGAAGCCTGTGCCCTCACCATCTTATATCACACAAGTGTATTTAATGCCAGTTGCTCTCACCAGTGGCCTTGGGATGGGTTTCTGAGGTTTTTTGGTTCCTAATTTTTTCATTGCATTATAGTATTTCTTCTGTTCTTCTGTCATAAAAATGTCTTGGCCACCTAAGTACATGGAGAAACCGATAGCTAGTTAGTTACTGCTAGCCATTTTTGAAAATCATGTCCCGAATTTTTAGAAATAATTTTAAAGTGACATATCACTTTTGTCAATAGTTCCTATTCCCAAGGGAATTAAAAGAATATGGACTCAGAGACCAGATGGAAAATTGATTTTTAAATAAGGGATAAAAGAGAAACAAAGTCAATTCAATCAGTTACAGCCCATTTTTTAGAACACAAAGTTTACACTTTTTTGTTTTGTTTTTAGTTTGTTTTTTTGTTTTGTTTTGTTTTTTGAGACAGGGTTTCTCTGTGGCTTTGGAGGCTGTCCTGGAACTAGCTCTTATAGACCAGGCTGGTCTTGAACTCACAGAGATCCGCTGTCTCTGCCCCCCAAGTGCTGGGAGTTTAAACATTTTAATGAACATACTACAGAATCTTTGTAAAAACTAAATACAGTTCAGTTTGCGTGAATTAAAATATACATAATAGAAAATATTCCATATTAGAATGCTCTAATTGAAATTAGCTACAAAAACCTTAGAATAAAATCCCACAGAAGAGGGAGATGTGTGGAAGGAGGGGTAAAGGAGGGAAGGGGTTTGACTAACACACATTATATACATGGATGAGCATGCCAGATAACATGAACCCACAATTAATATGTACAAACAACTGGGTGAAATTTTTAAAAAGAGAAGAAAAATACTATAAAATGGTACTTAAATTATCTTAAATAATTAATGCAACATTTCTAGTAAAAGTTAATTAAAATCTTCCCAGAACAATGAGTTTTAAATATTCTCACTGCTAATTAGGAAAACAAGCTAGGATTTTTCATTTCTAGAAATTTATGGACCAAAATAATAATCTAGAAATGTCAGATTAAATAGAACAGACTTCTTTAGAAATATGTAACTGAATTTTTACAGAAGTTTGATTTTTAAAAAAAAAAAATCTCCAGGCTCTGAAAATTAAGAGATAAGAAACAAAATGGTTAGTTTTTCCCAAAGTCAGTGCTGGAGGCTGGAGAGATGGGAGCAAACTGTTCTTGCAGAAGACTTAAGCTTGGCTCCCAGCACCGACATCTGGCAGCTCACAACCATCTGTAACTCCAGCTCCAGGGGATCCCATGCCCTCTTCTGGCCTCTTCAGGTTCTGCACTCATGTGTGCATACACACACACAAACACACACACACACACACACACACACACACACACACACACACACACACACAAGCATCTTTTTAAAACAGGATTGGCACGTTCAGGGCAGTATGGACGTAGACAAAAGCATCTTTTTTTGTTTTGGTTTGTTTTGGTTTGGTTTTGGTTTTTTGAGACAGAGTTGCTTTGTAGTTTTAGAGCCTATCCTGGCACTCACTCTGGAGATCAGGCTGGCCTCAAACTCACAGAGATCAGCCTGCCTCTGCCTCCCGAGTGCTGGGATTAAAGGCATGCACCACCAACGCCCGGCCAAAAGCATCTTTTTTAAAGGGAAGGCAAGTGTCCTTTGACAATGAAAGCCAACAAGAAACTCAGTTCTCATTAGCAGTAAAATGCTGCTCTTCTCCAATCATTTGACTACAGACTTGTGTCTACAGGGCTTGGGTTTGAATCCTCTCATGTGGACCAAAGCTTGCATAGTCCTAGAAGTCAGCCTTGCTTCCTGGTTATTTCTGGATACCAGGTAGAAATAAGTCATATTCATTATAATAGTGTTAACTTGACTTCTTGAGACTATAATACATATGCCTGGGAAAAAGACAACGAGTAACTGTGGATATTTAAAATATTGATTTTTGTGTTAAATGACACATATGTATGTTTGTGTGTGGGTATGTTAACATGAGTACAGAGGCCAGTAGAGGGCGTCCAATGCCCTGGAGCTGGAGTTAAAGGCAGTTGTGAGCTGCTCAACCTAGGTGCTTGGCTCAACCTAGCTCAACCTAGGAACCAAACTCTGGTCCTCTGCAAGGGCTGTGCATGCTCTTAACCTCTGAGCCATGTCTCCAGCCTCTGCCTGTAGAAATTTTAATTGTCCATCATCACCTGTGCTCTTGATACCAAGTTTCTCAGTGTAAAAAAGAGAAAGAAACACACCAGGAGAGAGGGGAAAACCATTAGACATCCGCTTCTTTATCTGTGTTTCCTTGTAGCTTTGGACTTGAAGCAGCTCCTCTCTCTGTCTCTGTCTCTGTCTCTGTCTCTCTCTCTCTCTCTCTCTCTCTCTCTCTCTCTCTCTCTCTGAAAAGACCTAGAAATAATGACAGTGCCTATACCAGATGTGGTTTTGAAAACCCCCAGAATTCATTAGTAGACAGAGGGAAAGAAGATCCAACTTAAGCCTGGGTCAACCTGTCACACCAGACACAAAAATGCTGCCACATGCGAGGGACTTGTTTTACATGAATCCTGATTTGGACCCAAAACTTCACTATAAAGAAAGAAATAAAAAGATAAAAAAATTAATAAATCTTTCATGAAAATTAAAGATAGTTGTGAATAACTGTATCAAAACATAAAAAAGTCAGTGATCTCAAGTGAAGAACTTAATGATGTGTCCGCCCAAAGGACTCAGAAAAACAAGAACAAATAGGTAGATGGGGAGAGATGGAGTGGATCACCACAGAAACTAATGAAATGGAAAGAGGACAACGCAAAGAAGTGAAGAAACTAAGGACTGGAGAGATGGCTCAGCACTGGCTGTTCCTCCAGAGGTCCTGAGTTCAATTCCCAGCAACCACACAGTGGCTCACAACCATCTGTAATGAGATCTGGTGCCCTCTTCTGGTGTATAGGAATGCAGGCAGAACACTATATATGTAATAAATAAATAAATCTTTAAAAACAAAACAAGAAACAACTAATTAACAGAGCTAGAGACAAAAGAGGAGCCAAACGCACACACCGCATACAGAGACATACCCCAAAAAATTGCCAAAATGAAATTCATTATTTTATATACTAACTTTGAAAATTAAATCTTGTGCATACTTGGGAGCTGAGGCAGAAGGGTGGTTATGAGTTTGAGGCCAGCTTGGGCTAGCCTGTGAGTTACAAGCTAGCCTGTCTCAAAAAAAAAAAAAAAAAAAAAAAAAAAAAAAAAAAACCAGTAGCAGCAGCAATGGCTATCTTAACAAAGAAAATTAAATAGAGACAATCTGATGAATTTGAAGAATTCATGTAAAGTTTTTTAGGTAATGTAATGACATTGTGGTTATGTTTGAAACCAGACATGTGGGCAAGCAAGATGGCTCAGCAGGTAAAGGAGCTTGGAGACCTGAGTTTGAGCCCCTGAACCCACACAAAGATGGAAGGAGAGAACCAACTCCACAAAGTCGTCTCTGACTTCTACATGTCCCATGCTCACCAGTGTATCATGGACATGTATACAATAATAAACAAAGTTTAAAGACAAGTTTGAAAAAAAGTTTGAGACCAGCCTGGGTTTATTGTGAAACCCTGTCTGAAAAAAAAATACAAAACATCAAACTCCGAAATGTAACTCTTCCTGGGACTGTTCTTTGTTTTTCTGTAATGAAAAACAGATACGTTTTAAAATATTTATGGTGAGATGAATTGAATCCCACAGAAGGGTCTGTGGAGGCGTCGCTGGCAGAGGGACGCTCTTAGTAGTCAATGCAATGCTGGGTGCTGGGTGTTCTAGATTCATTCTAGAAAATTCTTGTACACTTTTGAAATTTTCTGTAATAAAAAAATAATAATAAAGAACCAAAAGGATGCTGTGGTGTGATCCACAAAAGGCTTTCCAGCAGTGGGGTTAAGTCGAAGCCGCAAGGTTGACATCAAAATTGCTAGTATTGAGCCTGGTCTACAGAGCAAGTTCCAGGACAGCCTCCAAAGCCACAGAGAAACCCTGTCTCGAATAAACAAAACAACAACACAAACAAACAAACAAACAAATTGCCAGTATTGACTGCAATCAGGACATGCTTTACAGAGGGGACTCTAAGCCACGCCTCCTCCCAGGGCAGCAGGCTCAGGATGGCTGTGACACAACAAACAGCACAGGACTCCCTGCAGATGCTGAGGTCAATCAGTCAGAGCAGGTTGAGGTCAGTCAGAGCCAGTTGAGGTCAGTCAGAGCCAGGTGTGGTCAGTCAGAGCCAGGTGAAGTCAGTCAGAGCCAGGTGAGGTCAGTCAGAGCCAGGTGAGGTCAGTCAGAGCCAGGTGAGGTCAGTCAGAGCCAGGTGAGGTCAGTCAGAGCCAGGTGAGGTCAGTCAGAGCCAGGTGAGGTCAGTCAGAGCCAGGTGAGGTCAAGCCAGGTGA